CTGCAAAACAGCTCCCACTTCCACGATCTGTTGGCCAATCAGCGCCCGCTGAGCGATGGTCTCTGCCTGAGCGATCGTGGCAGCATGCCCCCCATCGTCACCACCTCCATCCGTCACCGCTAGGAAACTTGAAAACCCAAACGCCGTCGGAGACTCCATGTATTTCTTGTTGCTAATAGCTTCTTGCTCCTAGTTACCCATGCCAGGAGCCCCGTTCGTAGCTTCTTGTTACTCCAAAACAACTCCTCCCGACCCACCACGAGGACGGGACGTCGACGCCACGAAACGGACGTTCCTGGGGCGGCCCGACCGTGGTTTGCTCGGCACGTGCGAGGGCTTGGGACTTCTTTTCGATCCTCGGGCGCGAGGGGCAGGCGGTCGGTCTGGATCCAAGAGGACGGTGAGATACTTCCAATCGAAACTGGTCGTGACCTCTATTTGGGACCACCAACCACCCAAAATATGGCCAAACTTCCTATCAAAACAGAGGTCAAATGGGTATATATGTATCGTTGCAAATAGCTACTATAATAGCTTCTTGTTACTTACCCTGGGAGTCAAAGACTATCAAAAGAATGGTCTTTAGGTGACCCGAAAAGGAATATGCTTCACTTCAGTCGGTCAAAATATAGTCTTTGGACTTCTAGGGCTTATAGTAGTGGTTACTAGTAGACTAGAGATGTTGGATATATGCTACATGATACATATGATATATAGGTCATGAGGCGCCCGGCTCCACATGGAGACCATCCAAGTCCTCGGAGTTCATCGCCTGGGAAGAAGCGCAATGGTCATGCAGAAACCAGGTTGGACACCAAATGACAACGGAATGACAATGGATAACAAACAACATGGTAAAACTGCTGTATTTTGTGATATATCACGACGGAATCGTTCTTATGTTCAACGGAATCGATGGTTTAAACATGTTTAAACCGTGTTTTTGAGGGGGTGCAGGACATACACAAAGGAGGGTACAAACATGTTCCACAGTCTGTAGCGAGGATGACCATGAACATGTTTGGTGTACTGTACACGCACACAAGCAGGAAACACTCTATGGACTGTTTCATGGTGTGTGTTCCTTTAAAGGATGCTTTAACCTTGTTTCTTTGCTGGAGGTCCACATCCCAATAGTCATGTTACGGCCGGTGCAACAGCTGGGTATTCCTCTGCGCTCTTCACTCCAGCAACCACCACAAATTCGGCACCTGCCCGCCTTACCTTTTTGGTGTTTGGAAAACGAGTTGCCCTTTTTGGGGGGGTAGCACCTGCGTGGCGGTGCACTTTGATTGAGACTGGTTCCAATTGACGACCATTCGGACATCCGCGTGGGGAATCCACCAAGCCCAGAAAATCTTACTTTGGCTGGTGGGCGCGCTAAAAAGAGAAGGGCCTGGTGGGCTCGCGCGTCCAAACAAAACCTCCAACAGCTACAACAGCTGAACATGAAGATGTCCCAAAACCTCCAGACTGTAAAGTTTCGCAACATATGCGTTCATATGCGCGTGTATGTGTATATACACAAAGACAGAACCTTTTATAACAATAGCGCCCCACGGAGTTTTTCCAGGATTCTAGGTTCATTAGACATCTTCTGGGAGCATGGGGTGCTGTGTGCACCAGGACACACCATGTTCTGAGAGTTGACTTGGAACTTGCTATGTTTTCAAAGCATGGAACCATGTCTTGAACAGCACCTCTTGTTACAAGTGAGTGATTGACACCATTTAGAAAAAATATGAAAACGGTACTGATGAAGAACATATGGTTCGGATTCACCAATAGCCATCCAAAGCTTCCCTGATGACAAAATAAAGATTCTAAACCCATAATCTTAATATGTCTTGATCATCTACATGCATATTACATAATCCATCCATATCCACAAAATTCATATACCTACTACTCCATTGCTCCCTACTCCAGTTCAGTCCGCCTTCAGCTCCCAATAAACCGCCTTCAGCTCCTGAGTGCAGCTGTCGAGCTCGGACTCTGCTTCTTGCAAGACCCCCTGGCCGCACGGCATCACATTTGCGGATCACATTTCCATATCAAAACCTTCTGGATCACATTTCCGTTGAGTTATACCATGTCATATCCATATCATCAAAACTGCACTCAATACATTTTAGAGCATCTATAAAATGCTAGGTATGTTGGTTATCTTTGGGAGTAGCACGTCGTATGAATGATCACTTGCTTTGGATGCCGAACTTCTCCAACACCTTCCCCATGTCCAGCATACAGAATTCTGCAGTGAAACATCCGCCAGACATCCTTGTCCAGCATCTTGAGACAATTCACTGTATCCCTGTATCACTTTCTGGAAGAAAGCCATCCGCCCAGCCCGGCTCGCCACCCTCGCCCGATCGCCGAAGCCCCCCACCCTGGTGGGATCGAACCGGAAACCGGACGTCCCGTATACAAGCGGCGTTCCACGTGACGCGTCCCGCGCGGCTCGACCGCCTCAGAGTTGGAAACGCTTTCTTCCCAGGTGGTCAGAATCGTGTTCCGCTGTGTGAGGGACTCCTGCGCCGCAGAAGAGCGCGCCACAGACGCGCAATTCTGCACATGCGCAATTCTTTGATGCGAGCAAAAAAGGACGGTGATGCGAGCCAGCCTTACGTGACCAGCAGGTGATGACCTCATTGAGGTCCATTGTGTCAAAAGGTGTGCGATTGGACATGCCTTTGTAATTTATAATATAGAACATCATGATCGCATACTATTGAACCCGAAAAGGCTTAAGGAGATGCAATGGAGATCGTCGAAGCCCTCTGGCCCGAAAACCACGATGCACCGTGTGGTTTTCTGCGCCACCTGGCGACATCCACAGGATTTTCACGTCTACAAAAAGACCCAGGGGACAGGCACGACAAGACGGGCCTTTTGTGGCTCAATCCCAATTCTACTGCTGCGTAGGCCAAAGTCCCATGGTCTATGATAGCCAAACACTCCATGGGACTGCCATATGCCTATGAGTTGGGGTGGTTTGGGGGGTCAATGGGGCGGCATAATGCGGCATATATATGGCAGTCCCAGGCAGGTTGTGTCTGGGATAGAAACGGACGCCAACCCGTTTCTAAATCCACTCCATGACACCCGACATCACCCGGAGTTCACCGAGGCACCGGAGCTCACCGATGGAAAAGACGAACGCTCCTCCGCCTGCTGCAACTCGTCCCCCAAGCTGGAAGAGCAAGCCTTGATGGTTGGTCTCGCGTTCCGAGCATGCTGGAAGACTCGAGGTAAGACGCTCCTCCGACTGCCAACTCAACAGTTCTGAAGCCTCTCTGTTGATATCAATTTGTTGAATCATCATCGTGCTGCAGGTTCAACTACAAATGGGAGACCCATGAAAACTTGCATTGGTGATTGACCCTTTGTTTTTTTGTGTGTGTGTGTGTGAGGGAGGAATGTGTCTCAATGCGTGTGACTAAAAATTATGGTGTTGCAAATATCCTGGAGACAAGCAAGTAGGACGTTTGCTTTGGTTGCGTTCGATATATCTATTGAAAGACACTTTCCTTCAAGCGTCCAATGACCTGCACATATGGCAAATGCTGGAAGATGCTAGCCACCGAACACCACATAGATCGATGACATCATGTGGATTGATTCATGTCATCCCCCCGTAGATGTTCAATGAATAATTCCAACTCCAAATCTTCACCTCGTTTGGCCGTTCGATGCCCTCCCCTCTGCCTCCTCTGCCCGGAAGTTCCGTTGCAGCTCCCCCAAGCGCGTCCGGTCGCCTCAGTTGATCGCGTGTTCGACCAGGCCCCAACAAGTAGATTCTATTACACTGCCGAACGTTGCTTCGGCCTCTGTGCGATTTCAATCACAACTGGTGTTTATTGGACATGGACAAATCCATACCTCCAAATGTATGACGCCCGACCGAGCGACACCAAACCGATGTCACGTCAAGTTATGTTTCTCCCGCTTCCGAGAGGCACAGCAGCCGTTCCTGCAACCTGCGAGAAGAGATCGAGTGTCATTATATGTGTCTTATATTCAGTTTGCAAAGCGTCGTTCTTTTTCTTTTTTGCTTTTTTTTCGTATATGTTTTTGTTGGGTGCAGGAGAGGTTTGGAGATTTTGCAGCCAATCCCTCTGTGTTTTGCAGCTCCTCTCTCCAAAACCGTCGGGGGCACGAAGCCCAATAAAATCACTATACTACTGAGGTAGACCAGGTAGACTCATTTTGCTGAGTGAAAGGGTTCTTTTTGAAGAAACACTTGTTGTGGGTCTTGGACGGGACGAAAGCTCTGCCCCAAAACCTGTTCATGAGACAAAGACCTTGCAAGCAAATGTGCTGAGGCAGCAGGTTGCACATTTTCTCAAAGCACAAAAGATAGCCATAAACAAAAGCACTGAGCGTGCCTTTCTTCGGCGTAGATAGGTGGATGTGGCTCAAAGTGTTTCCCGGAACAAATATGTTGGATCCATTCTCTTAGTATCTCTTAGTTGTCTTCAAAAGTTCGCATGCATAGGCAGTTGCCGCAGCGAAACAAAGCAAACATCCACAGGAGTCCACGAGTGAGGAGAACCCACTTTGGAGTCCACATGATTGCTTTCCATTTGGCGCCACATGTCCGGACTCCACTTGGACATCGAGATCGTAGAGTGGCCGCATGGCCGCGTGGCCTGAAGCAAAGGGGACCGCCGCTCTGGGCAACCCTTCTGCTGGCCAGAAAATGGATTCTCCAGCAACTGGTTCACCGTCCCTCGCCTGAGAGAGAACCAACTCCTTAGACGTCTTCAAAACTCCTTGCCAGGCTGTACACGGGCGAAAATTCCTCTGCATTTTGTCAGAGCTGTACACTGCATGACTTCGAATTCCTCTCTGTTCATTCAGAGCTGTACATCGAGAAAAGCTGTACAAAACACTCACTATACATTTCTTGGAGGCTCAGACAAACCGTCTGAAGACTCTGTTGTTGCCAACAAACTCTGGGTGCCCTGAAAAGGCCTTCAGCAACTCTCTGTCACCCGCTATGGCTTGTCTCCCTCAACACGAGGAGTGCAGGGAAACGAGGTTGAAGCGATGCTGAGGGAGTCGAAGTCGTTCCTCGGTTTAGCCAGTCGATATCTCAAACATTCTCAAACTCTGACGCAGACGGAAGTGGATGGCAGGGTTTTCCTGGAAGGCCATGCCACCAACAGGTGTCAGGGCCTATCCCCGTCATCATGTCGCAGTTGCGTGGATGTTTTCACCATGTTTTCACCAGTTGCTCGCACGACACACCAAGTCTTTGAGCTTGATCTTTTCTGCTTCACCAGTTCCTCCGAGAACCTTGGTTCCGGTCCCTCGAGGGCCAAAACCCGTGGTTTTTGCGGACCCTCAATGACAGGTCAGTAAGGCCGAGGACGGTGGGAAGGGAAGGAACGTGGGAGGTTGCCCGGTGCCTTGTTTGGATTGAACCAAGTTGCCCAATGACATCGGTCCTCAACATCGGGATGGACGCACAGTCGCGAAGACGTCCAAGTCTTCTCTTTATGACCCGTTTGTCAAATGAACCAAATGACCTGTTTGTCAACGTACGTACTCTTCGCGGCTTGCAGAGGACAGTCTTCCGGGGTCCAAGAACTTGGCTTTTTTGCATCAAAGAGGGTCAAACAATCTTGCCTTGGTCAAAAGACTTGCTAAACCCTAAACCCTGCTCAGCTTCACTAGGCTGAAGATGAAAGGCGGTGGCTCGAGGCCCGGTGGCGGTCGGAAGGGCAGCTGTGTCCATGTGTCCCACGCCGTGGTCTGGTCGGACACCTCAGCCGGAGGAAGACCGACTGCGTTCGACGACCGAGCAATGAAAAGAAGTCTAGAAAACTCCTCGGAGGATCCGAGAAGATTTGCAAAAAAAAGAACAATTCAATCTTTGAATTCGAATATGTATTATCTGGCAGGGTCCAGGGTGTTTAAGGACCAACTGCAATGTGCACATTAGAACTTTACAAAACATCGTTCCTGCCTTGTCTCATTGTGACGCAAAAAGACAGAAAAGGGCTGATGAGGCTTAGAGCTGCTTGATTCATCTGATCTACATCTTGCAAGGCAAGCAGCTCGATGAATGTCCACCTTCATTGGCTCGGTGAGACCCTTTCGACGCTCTGGAGCTCTTGGGAGTGCCGCAGCCGTGGAGCCGCGGAGTTCCCCTCGACCATGGGCGAAGGAGCAGGAGGCGCCCTTGCCACAGCGACCCTTCGACATAAAACGGAAGCAAAGTTCGGTCTTCGTCCAGTTCGGCTGCTCGCGCAACTCCAAATCCTGGTATGTTCACAAGCCGGTAGGTCGCCGGGCGACGAAGAACGCATTTTCAAAGTTCGCCATGTTTGGTGATCTGGCGAGTTCGAGGTGGGAAGTTTAGGAAACAACTGAAGCCTTGTGGTGAAAGATGGAGAAAGAAATTCCTACTATGTGTGTGTGCAGAGTGTGCGGGGAATGCCAATTCTGAATACATCATATAGCCACTCAAATTGACTCAAACCATAAAATACCATGGACCATGGACGTAAGTTCCGGGGTGGGTCATGTGGCCGTCGGCAGTGTTGAAGAACCGCCTACAGGTCCTCAGCTCTGTTTAACCGAATACGTCATGCGCTCTCCACGCGGGCTGAGTCACTTCTTGGGCTGAGTCACATGTGTTGCTACCGACTCAGTCGACTCCGTTTGCATCCATCTTCATCCCCTAGAGCTCCCCTCTCTCTCAACTCAATCAGTCCGCCGTATACTAAGGGTCTCCGCCTAGGGGCTGAATGTGCGAAATTGCACCCAGTGCCCTTGCTGCATGTACCTACCTTCCAATGTCTGCAAACCTTGGTGCACTTCAATGCCGCTCGCAAATCAGATGCCGTCATCTTTCACCAGTGACAAGAGATGTGTCGAACGCGCAGGAAGCCGTGCGGAAAGCTTGAGCCACGAGCTGTGATGCGACGAGCGCCTCCCTGCCCAGACAGCCCAAAGAATGCAACATCATCCAGCGCCGAGCATGGAATGCCTGTGGTTCAAAACCATGGAGACCCCAGTTGACCACCGAAAATGAACAAAAGAGACTAACTACGACTGACATGGTCAATCCACACCTACAAGTCTTTTCATTCAACAAAGAAGTCATCACCGTCCACAATGTTTCTGACAAACCGCTCATCAGACAGTCTGTTTGCTCATCTTGAGCAAACCTTGGCATGCCGAGGTTTCCCCACGCTGAGTGGACCAAGGCTTATGCGATTGGCCGACCAACGCATCTCGAACATGGGTGAAAATGGCGGGGTCTCAACCCGAGATGAAGCAAATCTGGACCGATTGAAAGCGCTGAAGCTCATGCTGATGATCTCTGTGGACCACCTGAAAAACTGCCCGGCCCTCTGGCCAGGCCGGCCTCCCCTTAGAGGCCACAAATTCCTGCCAGGCTGTATAGATTACCTCAGCTTCAATCAGGACCAGGGCTGTACAGATTTCATATATGATAGAAAATTGTTTAAGCGCTATACACTGACTCTGAATTGATCGAAGGGAGTCCATGTTCCCTTCGCAAACTCTGCTGGCCTTTCTGGCCAGGTGTGCATGGCAATGAGTATTGACCAGGTGTGCATGGCAATGAGGACTGACCGGGTGTGCATGGCAACGATGACTGAGCAGGTGTGCACGGCAATGAAGTTGGAGCCAAGCTGAGCGAGTCCAAGTCATTCCTTGCTGACATGAGAGTCGAACGCTTTGGCAAAACTACCGCAGGCTTGCCCTGCACGAGCACGAAGGTGGGAAGAAACATTCCCGAAAAAGGTGACCTGCACATACCTGCACCAACCCCTGATGTTTAATTCACTTGAATTGAATCCAAATCATCTTCACCTCCTTACAACTGTGGCTGGGATCATTCCAGGATGTCCCTTCAAACACACTCCATTGACCTTCCAAGCTTCAGGCTAGGAGGCTTCCTGCTTGGCGGTGGAAGTACCTCCTCCAGTCCTGGTGGTGGTCGGAAGGGCACCATGGACATGCCAGGTGGCACCAGTGGCGCCGGATCCAACACACTCAACGCTCGCTCCTCAAGGGGTGCTTCCAATGCCTCAAAAGCACCGAGACGGACGGCTTCGTTCAGACCCGAGCTCCCAAACCCTGAAAACACTGAGCGCACGTAGACTTGCCAAGCACTGAGACTTGCCCAAAAATGGAGACTCTTGATGAATATTTCCCCCCATTTGGATGGCAAAACCTTGTTTCATATGAGACTCACAAATTATCCGGGCAAGAGACCCCAAACCGTGTGTGTGAGGTCTATAAGCAGAAAGTGTAGAGATCTAGACGCATTGGGGTCCAAAGAGGTGATGGTGGTGATGAAGGTGGGGATCGTGGTGACGGTGGCGGTGGTGGTGAGTGAGTGTGAGAATTAGAGTGAGAGTGAGAATGAGAGGGAGAGGGAGAGTGAGAGTGAGTGTGTGAGTGCGAGTGTGAGAGTGGAAGTGAGTATGAGAATGCGCTGAAATCTGCACTTCCAGGTTCACAAAGTACTGCGCCTGCCATGAAATCTCCACTTTGAGGTTCGCCAAGTGCTGTGCCTGCCACGAAATCCACATCGAGGTTCACCAAATGCTGTGCCTGCCACGAAATCTGCACGTCGAGGTTCACAAAGTGCTGCGCCTGCCACAAAATCTGCACATCGAGGTTCGCAAAGCGCTGTGCCTGTCACAAAATCTGTCGAGGTTCACAAAGCGCTGCACCTGCCACGAAATTTGCACATCGAGGGTCACAGACTGCCATGCCACGAAATCTGCAAACGAGCCACATGTCCAAAAGTCACGATTCACTGTACCTGTCACGAAATCTGAGCTCCTCGACTATCACCACCATGTCCAAAGTGCTGCACCTGCCACGAAACTGCATTTCGACTTAAAACAGCTCCGATCCCTTGCACCTGTCACGAAAAGTCGACTTTGAAGCACCACAGCACGAGGTTTCCCTGCGCCTGCCACGAAAAGTGACCACCATGTGCGAAAATGCGCACGGCGCCACAACGAGAGCGCAGTCGCTAGAAGCACCCGCCCGGGGCACCCAGACTTTGTGAGCCTGCGCAGTCGACATGCACATTCACAATGTTGAGAGGCATGAATTTGTTGCACCTGAGAAGCTGCAAAACGAAAGCCAGCGTTCTTACTTTCGAGTGTGCTTTCTCAGGCCACCCCCCCGAATCCCCCTTCTACTCGGCTGGCGCAGGTATAGATACCCAGAATAACTACAACTCAGTTACCAGGTATAGTACTTCAAGTTCCCTTTCCGTCAACCGCTCGATAACCTTTACACATGCACAGCAAACCACAGCTTTGAAGTCTCATTCTTGCATTGAACTTATATAGGTGTGTAAGAGGTATAGCAACATAGCATTTATACGGACCCAGGGTAGCTACAATTCTGTTCCCAGGTATCCCACCCTGGGTCCGCGCGCGCCTTGCTGGCTCCCGGCTGCCAGTGATTTAGGTGCGCGCGCGGGCGCGGGGACCCAGGGCACCTACAAGGCGGTTGCCAGGTATACCCTGAGTTGCGCGGACCCAGGGTGGGGAAATTGAAGTGGGATACCTGGCAATAGAATTATAGCTACACTGGGTCCGTATAAATGCTATGTTGTACCTCTTACACACCTATATAAGTTCAATGCAAGAATGAGACATCAAAGCTGCGGATTGCTGTGCGTGTGTGAAGGTTATCGAGCGGTTGATGGAAAGGGAACTTGAAGTACTATACCTGGTAACTGCACTATAGCTACCCTGCGTATCTATACCTGGCAAGGTGCCAACTACACCTTACCATTCAGATGATGCAAATGATGCAAATTGCATTTCTTGCATCACCACCCCTCAAAAAACACTTCCAACACGACCTCAAAAAACCTTCCATCCGTCCACCCTCCTCCCCCAGCACCGAGCTACTCACTTCGTTCGCCAAGCACAACTCAGCTGGCGCCTTCTACGAAGGCTGGCTTTCGTAACCAGTGTTTGAAAGGTTCAAGTTTGTTTCAAGCAAATTGCAGTGATTTGGTGCATGTTGGCACCAAGTCACCCAGTGGATCCAATGATGCCGGCAACCGATGGTGGAACATAATTATTCTCCTAGGGCCTCTAGGTCCTTCCTTTTGGAAGGTCTTTTCAAGAATATGGGTCCAAGGTCCGAAAACCTGGTTTGTCATGAAAGGGACGTATTCTGACAATCGACCCGTATTTTGAAGTATCAGCTTTGGTCAGGAACAGCGATTTTGTCAACTCTGTCGAGTGGCGACTCCTGGCAGTAACACCCTGGGTCCGCGCGCTTGCGCGCGCGCCTTGTGGGCGCCACTCGACCGTAGACGCGCACGCGCGCGCGCGGACCCAGGCAGCGGAAAGGGTCCATGCAAATAGGAAAAGCATTGAAACTCCATCCAAACATCGACCTTGTTGTAGCGGAAATGGGTCTTTTTAGGAGGGGCCTCTTATCCATGTACAGTCATCATGATTCTTTCAGGGAGTCACAATCTCTTGCCCAGCAAAAGGATAGTTTACACAGGATAGTTTACACCGAAAGAAGGGATTGCGATCGAATATCCAATGATCCGGTGATGGTGCACTTCAAATTCCCTCTCCAGTCTCATACGTGCTTTGAACTTGTAGAGGTGTGTCGGAAGTATGGCACACTAGCATTTATACGGACCCAAGGTAACTCAGTTCAGTGGCATGGTCTAGCACTTCCAGTTCCCTTTCCGTCGACCGCTTGATAACCTTTACACATGCACAGCAAACCACAGCTTTGAAGTCTCATTCGTGCTTTGAACTTATAATGGGTGTGTAAGAGGTATGGCAACATAGCATTTATACGGACCCAGCGTAGCTACAGTTCTGTTCCCAGGTATCGCGCGCATGAGACTTCAAAGCTGCGGATTGCTGTGCGTGTGTAAAGGTTATCGAGCGGTTGATGGAAAGGGAACTTGAAGTACTATACCCAGGGTATCTAAACCTGGCAAGGTGCCAACTAGACCTTCCCATTCAGATGATGGAAAGGGAACTTGAAGTACTATACCTGGCAACTGAATTGTAGCTACCCTGGGTATCTATACCTGGCAAGGTGCCAACTATATACTTGGCAAGGTGCCAAGATGATGCAAATGATGCAAATGGCATTTCTTGCATCACCACCCGCTCCAAAATCACCTCCAAAACAACCTCTCCGTCCACCCTCCTCCCCCAGCATGTGCCGAGTTTACGTGTACCTTTTATGGGCCACCCCCCCCAGACCCCTAAACTACTCACTTCGTTCGCCAAGCACAACTCAGCTGGAGCCTTCTACGAAGGCTGGCTTTCGTAAAATAGCAGCGAATTAGCCGCACACGCCCGCGCGGCACACCTATCTAAGCACACCAGCTTTTCCACTACCGTAAGAACCCCTAGTGTGTCCACACTGTTTGGGGAAGAAGACTTTGTGGACCACTGGAAGACCATTTCCACTGCCAAACCGATGTGCTCGGCGCCAAAACCTTCCCATGTCACGCTCCTCCCTCCCGCCCGGATCGGGCCAAGGAAGAGGGGAGGGGAAAGGAGAGCGACGCATGGGGCCTCCTTGCGGTGGTGGAATCAGCGATCTCGGGGCGCTGAAAACCAAAGTTAACTCGGAAAACAAACGCCGAAAGCACACGTTCCCTGGATTTCCGGTGACCGAACGCGCTCCAAAACGCGGCTCGGCTCGGAGCCTGCGTGGGACCGGAATCCGGGTGGGCACGGCAAGACATACGACCGAACATGTTGCCAACATCAAGTACTGATACATCTTCTGTTCTCTGTAAACACTGCTGATCGATCGTAAGACATCTGGAAGAAAACAATATATAGTTGATAGCTCAACACCCTGTTTGACTTTCGTAACATACTCTCGCCCCCCAACTCCATGAAGAAGTATACGAAAAGGTGATGATTCTTTCTGACTGGACTATACGTCACCAAGATGGTTACGTAGATATTTCAGTTCGGAAGTGGAAGGGTTTTCCCAATGATATACAACTAACCCCTCATATATACCCCTCCTATCTGATATATCTTATTTTCCCAATGAATACTGGAATCCTGCTTGAGTGGGACACTCTGTTACACCCTCTTCCATCAAACTGGTGGGACGTTCGTGCCCATGGTAGTGAGGGGGTCTCCAGTCACTTAGTCTCCATCAAATCCGCAGAGCTACTCGATGAAGGTTCACCTTCATGGGCTCCGAATTCACGCGCTCTGGCTCGTGCTGGGTGGCCACGCGGAGCTCCTCTCGACCATGGGCGAAGGTGCAGGACGTGCCCTTGCTGCAGCGACCCTTGCGCATGAAGCGAAAGCAAAGATCAGTCTTCAGCAAGTTGGGTTGCTCGCGCAATTCCAAATCCTTAGCGATTCTCTGACGAATCATACGATGTTGTTTTTTTTTGATTCTGACGAATCCATTGCACAGTCGGCCCCCAAAAACCATTCATACAAAGTCGGCTGTGTTTGAAGCCACAGAAATCTTCGCTTGGCCGCTACGTGGGTCCTGCAAAAGCACTTGAGATCACACTGTGATCCCGGCCGTATTGGGCTTCTTATCTTGCTGGTCATCATTCGGTGGCTCTTAGATTCTGGACTTTTGAACAATAGTCACTAGCAGCAGTGCTACTTCACAACGAAAAACATGCATGATAAATAGAAACACATTCAACTAAGCCTCACAAACCTCTAGCTTCTTCTACACTGGACTTGGCAAGTGCACACCAACTCACATCACCGTAAACAGCTGATAATCTAATTGGGCTTGCATTAACAATGAACGACTTATTTTTCCTATGTAGTGTGTGTTGACCTTACCATTCAACCAATGATGTCAAGGTTCTGAATGTGCGAAACTGCAAGAATTGCCCATTGTGCAGTGTCCTGCTTTCCAATGCCTCGGACTTGCTGATTAGTAAGGGCGTCGTATGGAAAACACACATACATCACACTGAGTGCCACTGAAGGCGTGATCGAACTAACATCACCTATCATCCCTATCATCTAGAACATTTGTGATTTTGTACTGACAATTCTGGGAAAACACGCTGTGTGTCGTACTGTTTGGCAGCAAGCTGTTCTTTCCAACTCAAAAACACGCTTGATCAAGCAGAGTTAAGGAGGCAAGTGATGCTTGACGTCTTATCGCCCACACTTTTTGCAATCAGGACCGAGTTGGAATTGCTACGTGCTCGTTCCCATCTTTGCCGTGTTCCCGACAGAGATCGGCCTATCTCTGACCATCTGCGGGTCATTTTGCTGTGAGGGGGAGAATCTCAGCGTGGTCATTGGGTGATATGGGGAGATATTCTCAGATGTGCAATAAGAATATCAGTAGCAAGGTAGTATCACCATATAGTGGTCCCCCCCAAAAAATATAATATAGATAGATAGATAGATTACATTACATTACATTACATTATATTAGATTAGATAGATTAGATAGATAAGATAGATAAGATAGATAAGATAGATAAGATGTATAAGATGTATAAGATAGATAAGATAGATAAGATAGATAAGATAGATAATATAGATAAGATAGATAAGATACATGAGATAGATAAGATAGATAACATAGATAAGATAGATATGATAGATAAGATAGATAAGATAGATAAGATAGATAAGATAGATAAGA